ATTTTTAGAAGAGAGAGAGTTTTACCATGTTGGTCAGGCTCATCTCGAACTCCTGAGCTCAAATGATCTGCCTGCCTCGGCCTCCGAAAGTGCTGGGATTACAGGCGTGAGCCACAGCGCCTTGTCCACATTAATTTTAAAATAATGATTTGGATGGGGCATATTCATGAATCCCTTTATGCTTAAAGAAAACGTTTTACGTTTTAAAGAGCTAACATGGAAGGCTTAGCGGGTAAAAGCTTTATAATGACCTCACCTGACGGTGATAGGTAGAACAAAGTACACAGTAATAGAATTTGGGAAAAGAAATAGCCCATACTCTAAGCTGATGAAATCTAAATTCTTTTATAATTCAGCTATGAGATCTTGGTTTTCCCAATAGCCTTTCCTTAAGACATTAGCATAATGTTAGCTTTAATGGCTTACAAAATGTTGGCATTATTGGAGTGCTTTCTAGACACAAAAGAGCTGGTTTTCGTGTCCCTTAAAAGAGGAAGAAGATGAAATAACACAGACATAGCACTTTTCTCTCCCTGGACCAAATATGTTAGGGGAGGAGATGGGGTACATAAAAACCCAATCCTGATCTCTGAGGTCCTCTAAAGATGTTTAGATGTGTAATGTGTTTAGATCTGTAATGGGTTAATAAAGAATTGAGGGGGAAATTACAACTTTTGGAGCTTAACCTTATGGATAACTAAGCTCTCCCACAAAATGTGCCCATTGCCACTAGACGGAAATTTTGTTTGTGTGGATTGCTGATCTGATGCAGAATGGCACCCCCTTTGATGTTTTACGATAGTATCATGTTGGAAGAAAAATTTTGCCAACTAAACTATGACACAATAATTTCTTGTAATTTAGTGTTTTTCTTTCCTTTTTTTGTTTTTCTCTTTGAGACAGGGTTTCACACTCATCCAGGCTGGAATGCAGTGGTGCGATTGTGGCTTGCTGCAACCTCTAACTCCTGGGCTCAGGTGATTCTCCTGCTTCAGCCTCCTGATTATCTGGGACTATAGGCATGTGCCACCATGCCCAGCTAATTTTTTTGCCTTTTTTGTAGTGGCGAGGTCTTGCTATTTCCCAAGTTGATCTTGAACTCTTGGGATCAAGCGATACTCCCACCTCAGCCTCCAAAAGTGCTGGGACTACAGGTGCGAGCCACTGCACCTGGCCTATTTTTATTTCATACTCAGTAAAAGAGCACTCTCAGACTTTGATACATTTATTATGCATCGATCTTGTGCATGCATAAAAAGGAAAATATAAGTAAAATTGGTTTAGGGATTTCAGAAACTAATTCATATTCAGAACTCAACTTTTATTTAATTTTAATTTTTTTTTTTTGAGATGAAGTCTTGCTTTGTCACCCAGACTGGAGTGCAGTGGAGTGATCTCAGCTCACTGCAACCTTCATCTCCTGAGTTCAAGTGATTCTCCTGCCTCAGCCTCCCGAGTAGCTGGGATTAGAGACACACGCCACCACACCTGGCTATTTTTTTTTTTTTTTTTAAAGTAGAGATGGAGTTTTGCCATGTTGGCCAGGCTGGTCTCAAACTCTTGACCTCAGGTGATCCGTGCTGGGATTACAGGCATGAGCCACCACGCAGGGCCCAGAACTCAACTTTTATGAATCGATTTTTTTGTTGTTATTTTTTGTTTTAAGATGAAATCTCGCTGTGTCGCCCAGGCTGGAGAGCAGTGGCGCCATCTCGGCTCACTGCAACCTCTGCCTCTGGGATTCAAGTGATTCATCTGCCTGCCTCCGGAGTAGCTGGGACTACTGGCGCCACCACACCTGGCAAATTTTTTGTATTTTTAGAAGAGATGGGGTTTCACCAGAATAGCCAGGATGGTCTCCATCACCTGATCTCGTGATCTGCCCGCGTCGGCCTCCCAAAGTGCTGGGATTACAGTCATGAGCCACCGCGCCATTAATCGCTTTTTGAACCAGTTGTCCATGGCTGTGGTTTTCCACCAAAGGTATTAGTGATGCATCTAACCTTAAGAGTGCTCCAGCCAGGTGCAGTGGCTCGTATCTATAATCTCAGCACTTTGGGAGACGAAGGTGCGAGAATCCCTTGATGCCAGAAGTTTGAGAGCAGCCTGGGCAACAAAGTGAGAACCTCGTTTCTATGAAAAATAAAAAAATTTAGCCAGACGTGGTGGCACATGCCTGTGATCCCAGCCACTTGGGGGACTGAGGCAAGAGGATCGCTTGAGCTTGGGAGACCAAGGCTGCAGGGAGCAGTGTTTTGCGCTACTGCACTCCAGCATGGGTGACAGAGGGAGACCGTTTCCTTTCTCAAAAAAAAAAAAAAAAAAAAAAGAAGGAAAAAGAAAAAAGAAAAAGAAAAAGAAAGCATGCTGTGCTATTGTATGCAGGATTTTCTTTTCTTTTTTAAAATTTATTACATTTTAAGTTCTGGGGTACATGTGCAGATCATGCAGGTTTGTTACACAAGTATACACATGCCATGGTGGTGGTTTGCTGCATCCATCACCCCATCACCTACATTAGGTATTTCTCCTAATGCTATCCCTCCCCAATCCCCCCACCCCGTGCTGTTTCTCCCCTAGCCCCTCACCCGCCAGGTCCCAGTGTGTGATGTTCACCTCCCTGTGTCCATGTGTTCTCAGTGTTCGCCCACTTACGAGTGAGAACAAGCGGTGTTTGGTTTTCTGTTCTTGTGTCAGTTTGCTGAAATGATGGTTTCCAGCTTCATCCATGTCCCTGTGTATGCAGGGTTTTCTTCCAGGCCAGCTTACCTTATTTTGCAAGTTTTGATGCTGGCGCCTGCTTGATCTCAACTGAATATATCAATTACGAGTTTTCTTTTTCTTTTCTTTCCTTTTTTTCTTTCTTTTGTTCATTCATTTCTTTTTTTTTTTTTTAGATGGAGTCTTGCTCTGTCGCCAGGCTGGAGTGCAGTGGCACCATCTCGGCTCACTGCGACCTCCCCTTCCCAGGTTCAAGCGATTCCCCTGCCTCAGCCTCCTGAGTAGCTGGGACTACAGGCACTTGCCACCAAGCACAGCTAATTTTTTTTGTATTTTAGTAGAGACGGGGTTTCACCATGGCCAGGATGGTCTTGATCTCCTGACTTCATGATCCACTCACCTCGGCTTCCCAAAGTGCTGGGATAACAGGCGTGAGCCATGGCATCCAGCCGAATTTCAAGTTTTCACGTAAAACATTCAGGACTTGTTTTCCTTCTTCAATGGTGTTATTGAATACAATCTATAGGAGTTGTAATTGTCTAACCAGACTATCAAAAATAATATCCAAGTTATTTCATTTTTTGGGGGTGCAATTAGGCTTACTATTTAACTGTTCCGATATGGGTTCCCAAAATCCATCAAGAATGAATGTGCTTGATGAGTAACTCATGGCTCCCAGAAGACTACTAATTCTTAGCCAGTACCATCTCTTTCTTTTCTAAGTGCTAGAGAAATCTCTTTTTGGTCCTAGGAAAATCTCTTTCCAAGTTGGAGTAAGTTTTGCCTGTTAATTCCCTTCCTCCTAGGGTTGTGGGTTTTATTAAACAACGCGCTTATCTCAGTGAAATGAGAACAACCTGAACAGCAACATCCACGCCGTAAGACGTGGAGGTAATGACAACCAGATCTGTACTGCCACCTGGTCAACGTGAGTTTGTAAGATGCATCCTCATTTCACAGATGTTAAACTGTGGGAAAAAACGTGGTTTAGCATCTGTGAAATACAGAACGTCATGGTGGCTGAGTCAATGTATAGTGGCTTTTCTTTAATTCCAAGGTTGGGATGTGGGGAAAAAAAAACTTGCCTTAAAAGAAATCCATACTTTTTGGTACGTTAAATCTAAGGGAGGTTATAAATCGAATGGTTGCAAGAGCCCAAGTTTAAAGCGAGAAAAAGATGTAGCAGGGGAAGAAAGAGCTGAGAAATACGGAAAGAATGGAAACAATGGATGTAAAAGCAATGGGCAAGTTTTTTTGAAAGGGATAAAAATCACAAGCTTATTAAAAAGGGCAATGCCAATTACAGCTACAGCCGAAGAGCAAAGTAGCTCATTTAAAGATTATTTTTACATTAGATATAAGCTTTGCAGCAGGGCTCCTCTCCATTTTAGATAGTAAAATTGGTTTAGGTATTTCAGAAGCTTTTATCGCAGATTATAATTTCATATTCAGTAGTGTGATTCATTTAGGTTAGTGACCTCCGTTACACTTAAACTGTTTTTCCTCACGACTATATTCGTAGTGGATAGCGCAGTGAATATAATTTCATGAGCCAATGTTGTTTGTTAATATTTGTAACCCTTTAATGTGCAGGGTAGATCTTTGAATATCTAACTTCCTTAAGCCTCAGTTTTCTCAATAGTCAAAGGGGGGCTAAGTCAGGATTCATTCAGAGTTACTCTGAAATGAAATGCAAGAATGTATATAAGCCTTAAGCAGTGCCTAGCACAGAGACGTTCATTGAACAGCAGCTTTTGTGCGATGCACCTCACTCTGAAATACGCGTTCCAACAGCACAAACGACTAGCTCTCTTAGCCCCGTTTTTTTTTCTACGTTCGTATGTTGCTTTGAATTGGCAAGCAGTTTTTATTTGGACCCTCAAACGCTGAAACCTTGGTCTCTAACTGTGCTTTGAGTCTAGTCCTTTTCTTTGCATCGTGATGGATTTCCCGAGCTTCGGAGTGGGGCCCCGACCGGGGAGGAAGTGTCCGCTTTAAGAGCTCCTGGCGGGGAGGAAGGGGCTCCTCCGCCCGGGTGGGAGCGCGAAGGGGTGGGAGCGCGAGGGGGTGGGCGGGCAGGGGGCGGGCCCGCCGCTCCTGCGTCAGACGGGGTCCGGTTTTCGCACCTTCCCTGACGTCAAACCTCCATCAGGGCTGCAACGCCACGTTGCCTTGGATGCCTGCGTGAGTCCAGTCGCGAGTCGGGGCGAGCGTCCTGCGAGACGCGCTCCCGCCCCGCTGCTCCCGCCCCGCTGCTCCCGCCCGGCCGCAGGCGCCTGTTTGTGGCTCCGCGGGCAGCGCGGCCGCGGCGCTCGGACGGCCTGGGGTTCGGGCGCCGCCGCGGAACCGGAATCGGAACGGAGAGCGCCCGGCGCGGTCCTCGGTCTCCACCGCGGCCCGGAAGGAATCCGGGCGGCCTCCGCGGAGGTGAGTGCCGCGGCGGGGGCGGGGCGCGGCCGGGGCGACGCCCGCGGGCGGGGCCTGCTCGCCGGGCGCCCTGGGCGCCTTCTTTCTCCCGGGGGACGCCAGGACGGCTCGCCGGGCTCCCGCGGCCGCTTCGCAGGTCCTCGGCTTCCCCTCCGTCCCGCGTCCCATTCTGCCCCTGCTGCGTGAGAGGGTTCGGCGGCTCCGGGCCGGGATCGAGGTGGCGGGTCGAGGGGAGGAGGTGGGGCGCGGGCTGCATTGCGCTTGGGTCGGGGCCCTGGGTCCGAGGGGCCGGCGGACGAGGCCTCGGGCCCGGGCCTGGGGAGGAGGAAGCCTGCGGGGTCGGGTTGAGGGCCGGGAAGCCCGGGAGTCTTGCCTGGGCACCTGTGGGGCCGAGATCCCGAGCCACCTGTCCACACACCCCCTTCCCCCAGTGCCCTGCGTTGGGTCTAGCTGGCCCCAGACCTAGGCCTTTCCCAGCCCCTGGCGGTGCTAGTTTATTTGGAAACGTGTGATTTTTGTGTTAATGATCGTTTTACTACGGCCGTGCAACAGTTGTGTAAATCTGGTCTTATTGCGCCATCGTTTTTACTTGCTCCTAAGAAGGCCGTTTCCAGCTCCTGCGATGATCCCACGCTTTGATTCTGGGTAGCTCGTGGAAGAGATGCGTAACAAGATACTGGTTCTCGGGGACCAAAACGCAACCCCCCCCCCCCAACTTAAAGGAAATAGCTTGTTTTTGTTTTTCTTTTTTACAGCAGTTTGCTATGTGTGGGGAGGGGGAGGGACGGCGGAGACAGCTTGTGGCGATTTCATCCTGGAGAAAATCTGCTCACAATTTGGGGGGTATCTTTCTCTTCTCTTTAATTAATACACAAACATATATACGTGTGTCACATGAGGGGCGTTTATTTGTCTGCTTTTTTCACTTAATGCGTGGAAGATCTTTTCTATATCGTTTGAACCCAAAGCATAGAAGGCAAGAAAGCAACTCGTTAAGAGAGTTGATAAAGTATCACTGCAGTGGCCAGTGATTTGGATAGAGATAAGCTGAATTCAGAAACCAGTAACAACTGGTTTCTAGAAAATATTGTTTAGAAAATATGTCATAATAATTGCAGGCAGTGTTTCTTCAAACTGCATTTTTTCAGCCAGTTCGTGAATTGTGAAATTAATTTAATGGGTCATGACTAGCATTAAAAATTTAAAAAATTAAATAAGATCGCATAGAAAATATCAGAATGCATTACATGTAATGAGAGTATTGTTTTGTGGAAAATGTTTTAACTGTGCGTGTGTGCTCGTTTGTAATTAAAATGTTTTGGTTGCTGTGTGTCGTGTTAAATAATCTTGGAAGGCACTAACCCAAGGTATTGCTAGCACTCAGATGAGCAATGATGCAATTAAACATTAGTTTTTAAAATTTGGAATAGTGATGTTGTTGATTGCAGCAAATAAGAGTCCTAATTATTTGTTTTCACCTAACATTAAAACAAGCAGTATTCCTAAAAATACAGAGAAGTGGTGTCTAAGTCGTTAAGAGATTGTAGCGTAAATTGCTCAAATTGACCAATGGTCGCAACTCAGTTAATGTTGGTTATTGGTGTGAGACTGCTAAGAGGTATCTCTTTTCTCTTAACCTTAGCTCCCTGATTTGCTAAATGAGAATTAATCATGGCAGCTACCTTATAAAGCGGTTTGTTATTTAGATGAGATAATGCACAGGAAGCTGTTGACAGAGCGCCTGGCTCAGGTTAAGTACTAAGTATTAGCTATTAGTATTTTACTAAGGCTGAATAGAGATGTCTAGGATAATGCTTGTCACCAGAGGAAAGCCGGCATAACGTGGATAATTGAAAAAAGTGGAAAACTGAAAATCAGTAGTGTTGTGTGGAGGAACTGACACTGAATTGGTGTGGTCTTTTTTGTCATTCGGCCATTGTTTTGTCATTGCTTCTCAGTTGTTTCCCTACTGCTGGACAGAAAATTTAGACTGTCTTATTTAGAAAACCAAATGCCTTTCTATTATCTTTCCTTATTTTTTTTTTTTTATTAAGTTGATGTGTCTTTTGTCAGGCACTTGAAAAATCTTTTATGAGGATTGTGGGTTTTGTTAGTTGTTACTACAATGCCACACTCAGTTTGAGAAATACACAAAAACCCCAAAGTCATTTCAGAAATATTTGTTAACCAATGTTTACCTCTGCAGCTGGTGCAGATCTCAGGTGTGCAAGAAACATCTCTTAAAAAACAGCAACAACAACAACAAAATGCTGTTTTATTTTTCTTTTGAGACATTGCTGCTATGACGTTTCAGTTACATTCCTCATTTCTGCTGAAGTCATCTGGGTAGCTCAGAAATCTCTGTTCACTCCCTGGGATAGGTTTATGCAATTTTAAATGTCACCTAAACGAATGGAATAAGAAGGTGAACATAGTCATTTAAAAAATAGTATTATTATTTTTAGGAAAAATAAATGATCAAAATTCTGCTCTCAGATTTGAAACTGCCTTCAGATTTTTGTTCTGCTTTAGAGGAACAAAAATGGAAACTCAGGGGTGAATTACAGTGTAGTTTATGAAAAGACATGTCTTGAGACTTTGGCTAACCTGTCCCCCAAGAAAAGCAACAACACCCATACTAAAAATACCAATGAAACAAAAAAGCCCAACTTGACCTTAAACATATATACATTTATATGTTTTAAGTTAAATATTAAGATTATGTGTATATTTAAATTATCTCACTGGTGACTTTCAGAAGTTAACTCACCAACTACTGGTTCTTGTCAGAGCTTTTATCTTACACTGACACGATGAAATACTATGCAATCATTAAACATTCTATTTTAGTTTACTTTATTTTCTTCTATTTTATAATAACATTTTATAATGGCATATAAAGGTGCTCATTATATGTGGTTCAGTGAGAGACGGTGGCTATAGAATAGAATGTACTATACCATCCCATTTTTGTAAAAATATGTTTAGAATAAAAAATATAACACAGGTTAAAGGAGGGTGGTAGTATTATGGTTGATTTTTATGCTCTTTGTAATTGTACTATTATAAATGTTTTACTTCTGTAGTAAAAATTAATAAAATAATTTTTTAAAGAAAAATGCGTGTTTTCTTATTTTGTAAACATACATGACTGTGCTTTAAGGGATACTGACTCTTAGCTTGGAGATTTCGGGCATTAACTAATTTTCCAGTATTTTTGGAAATGGTGCAGAGTATTTAATAGTTACGTTCTTTACCGTATGAAAAGCTCCTTTGTGTAGAAGAGAATCATGGTTCCAGAATTTTCTTAAACCACTCTAGAGTATACCTCTTTACAAAAAAACTTCCGCAGTGCGTAAAGGCACAGTCTAAATTGTTCAGTTTGCTTTTGAATACTAACAGGTCAAAATCCAATCCACTTTCTGTGGTTTATTGCCCCATGAATATATAAAAGTATTTGTTAATAAAAAATAAAATAATTGAAAAAAATTCTCAAATGCAACCTTAGATTTGCTGAATTTGTTAATTTTCTTGCTTTTGTACCTTGGCTTGTTTGTTAATTGGGCTATTATTTCCCAGCCTTTGAGTGAGTAAATCCTACCCATTTTTCAGTATCTGGTTAAAAAACCATACCCACAGTGGCATCCCTGGCCACTCTAGCTAAAACTGAGTTTTGCAGTTGAACTCATTAGCAATTCTCATTTTTGCTGAGGCATTTCTTAGGCATCACCTCATTCTTGGGCACTATTTTCCCAATTTCATTTTAAATTTTTTGAGGGCAGGAAAACTTGTCTCATCTTTGTCTCTGTCCCTTAAAGTTTCTAGCGTGGAGCTCCGCACAGGGTGGGTGCTTACTAGTTATTCTTTGATTATACCGTGGTGTCACTGGCTCTTTTGAGCCCAAGTGTTCGTAGTTTTTCTTAACCAGTGATCCTGGATAAGGAGCAGTGCTTTGCCCACAATGGAGGAATAAAAGACATGCTTCTGCTTAATAGTGTATTGATATAGATAGGTGATTAAAGACTTGACAGTATTTTTCATTAAAACTAATGTGATACCTGAGCCTCAGGAAGTTTCTCATGAAGCTAATCTTGTTTGGATTTGATAGCATTTTTGTTCTTAACCTTACCAGAAGCACAATTGCGCCTTATATTCTTTTACAGCCACTGTTCCAGGAACCCAGAGACCTGCAGTGTTCGATGGTGGGTTAGATGGGCCATCACAGTCACTGCACCAGAACGTCAGGAGGTGGTGTGTGAGGTTCAGTGAGCCGTAGTATATAAAGTGCTTTGTGTTCGAAAGTTAATTATTTTTTCTTATATTATTGGAAACATGTCCCTTTTCAAAATATGTCTAGGTATACTTACTTGGTCTGTGGTAGACACTTACAGGACCTAATTCTTTTAAAAAATGATTTTATTTTAATTTACAGATATTTGCCACAACTAATAACAGCTGATGAAATACTTGACCTTTTCTGCTCCAGGTAAATAATTTGTTACTTTGTAAAAATATCAGGTTCTAGTAGAATTCAGAGTTCGTATAAAAAGACTTATTTAGGCATCCAAAGTAATATAATCCCAGACCCTAAAAAAGTGATCTCTTTAATAGGTAAGTTTATTACTTTATAAAAAAATGATGACATGTTATTGAGTCGACTTACAGCAGAATCACCTTGAACATTTTATTTTATTATTATTATTACTTTTTGAGATAGCGCCTCACTCTTTTGCTCAGGCTGGAGTGCAGTGGCTTGATCTTGGCACACTGTAGCCTCCACCTCCTGGGTTCAAACGATTCTCTTGCCTCAGCCTCCCAAGTAGCTGGGACTATAGGCATCTGCTACCACACCCAGCTAATTTTTGTATTTTTAGTAGAGACAGGATTTCACCGTGTTGGCCAGGCTGGTCTCGAACTCCTGACTTCAGGTGATCTGCTTGCCTCGGCCTCCCAAAGTGCTGGGATTACAGGCATGAGCCACCGTGCCCTGCCCCCTTGAGCATTTTAAATTTGCTTTGTAATGTATGTCCTGGGTTCTCTCAACCCCTGGGATTTTGATTTGGTAAGTTTCCGATGAGGTCCTGGCATTTTAATTTTTTAAAATGCTAACACATGCTTCTGGTTCATTGCAACTCACTGTGGCACTAGAGATGACAGATGACGGGAGTGACAGGTGATAATGCCACAGGAGTTAAGGGCCATAGGATTAAATATTTAAAAATATTTAAGTATTTAAATTTTGTGTTTATATGATATTGGACTAATGCTTACTTTTGTCCTTTAGTCAATAAATGTTTTAATCATACTTTCAGTAAATTCTCCCAAAGTTTGTTATTTTAGGATTTTTCAAAGTTTAGATTTAAGCGCTAGGTTCTCTTGGCTTGAAATTTGCCTTATGTGTAAGTATAACCTGAAAAACTTTGTTCTGTTTTATTGCTGTAGGTTAATAAGTGAAGTAAATTAGTGGAAAAAAGACTAAATTTTAAGTAAGTAATGTCTTATATATTTTTTGTGTCAGAGGCTGGTTTAATTGATTAATTCTCTCCATAAATGTGAGAAGTCGGAAAATCAGTATTTCTCATAGTAAGAAGTAATAGGTAAGTAAATGTTATGCTAGCATTTTGACTTAATGAAGCCTTTTTTTCCCGTCATCTTACTGGTTTTAAGGCTGTGATTTCATGTTTCAGTTATTGATTTTAATGATTAAATTTTTCCCATTGCAGAAATACTCATAACACATTATAGAATGATTGTTATATATCTTCCGGCCGCTGAGAATGCTTAAACTGTATTTGAAATACAAAATAATTTGCAATTCTGTTTTCAGCTTAACAAAGCAGCAAATAAACTGCATTAAATTTTTTACTTAAAATCATCATAAATTATATGTACATTGTGTCAGTTAATACATGGCTGAGCATGAAAATTACCAGGGGAATTTTGAAAATTCTGAATCCTAGGCTCACCTCAGCTCTACTAAAATTTTGGGTATTCAGCCTGGTTTGGGAACCATGCAATCTGTAATGTTGAAGGATTATACTTTTAGGTGAGTAGAAACTGGAAAACTATTTATTTGTAGAGAAATCTCAAACACTAGTAGGAAAAAAATCCTTCATATTTATCTGGCATATGTAATTGGCAGAAGAAAAATGTATTGTGTTTCAGAGGCTAAATTAGTTGTTCCAATTTTTAGCAACTGTGTTGCATAAATTATTAAAAAATCTGTCTCTCTGTGAGCTGAGCAGAAAATGCCATGTGGTGTCTTTACTCTCATGATGACAGAGAATGACACGTCGTCAGATAATCTGGGATTTTATATGGAAACATGATGGGGAAATTAATGAGCTCCATTAGAATATAGTAAATAAACCATAACAATATTTTAGAAATAATTGATCTTCACAAATTGAATATTGTAGTCTTTGTTACTGAATCAATATCTAATATCTCTAATAAGTGATTAGAAAAACTAATCTAAAAAACTAAATATTTAGTCATCTAGTCTTCAAATATTGGCAACACACTGTTCTTTCATAGGATGTGTAGTTCTTATTTCTGCTTCAGGCTCACTTATTTATTCAATGGCTCATGGCAGCCTTATATATTTTCCTAATTAATAGAAGTAGGAGCGGATAGGACCCAAGAGTGAATTTCTGTTTTCTGTTAATTATCTTAGCCATTTTCCTCATAAGAGTAAGGAATTATCCTGATTTTCGACATTTTTCTTTTTTTCAGTTTGAGTATTGAAAGACAGTAGCCATCTGACTTCAGTTATTTATTCAAGATGCAGAAAAGACAAGGATATTGCAGTTATTGCCGTGTGCCATATAATAACCTGGAACAGGTGAGAGGTTTCTATTAATATGATAATATCTCAAAGGACCTAGTTGTGACTTTCTCTGACATTTTATTAAATTTATTTATTTATTCGTTGAAGAGATCATATTGGGAATCTGTTAGTTGGCAGATACTGTGTAAAAGTTCTAGGGATATGACCATAAACAAAAACAAGCCTCTTTTCTCATGAAGCTTATATTCTAGTGTAGTAAGACAGAAGATAAATAATATGTAAATTTAGTACATACTATGTGAGATTATGATAAATGTTATGAGGAAAACAAAATACGGAAGGAGTAGGGTAGCCAGGTAAGGCCTTTTTAAGGAAGTGACATTGAGTGGAGATTTGAAGTTCAGGTTTCAGGTTTGCATTTATCTGGGGAAAGAGTTTCTAGGTAGAAGGAAGAGATGCAGACCCTGAGGCTGCTGAGTGGTTGGCACACTAACGAACAGCCAGGAGGCTGGTGGCTGCATGGATATTGGAAGGTAGGTGATAAGTAATAGGCAAAGAATTCTGTATTTTAGATTGAGGGGGTGTGTAGGCTTGTTGGTGACATGAGTATATTGCAAACTGGTCGGGATTAGGCTTCTAGTGTATCCATTACCCAAATCAGAGAAGTCGATTCTTTAAGACATTGTAGGCTTAGGTGAGGACTTCGAATTTTGTTTCAAGTGAAGTGGGAGAGCATTTCAAAATTCTGAGCATAGGGGTGAAATCATCTACTTTGTGTTTTAAAAGGTTCATTCTGGATGCTGAGGGAAACATAGTTGGTATAGAGATTTAAAAATTCTGTTATTGTGGTATAACTCATACAACATAAACTTGACCCTTTATAGTGTGTAATTCAGTGATGTTTTAGTATGTTCACAAAGTGGTACAACCACTGTCTAATTCCAGAACATTTTCATCATCCTGAAAGGAAACTTTGCACCCGTTGAGCAGTAACTCACTCCTCCCTTCTGTCACCAGTTCCTGGCAACCACTAATCTATTCCTATCCGTATAGATTTGCTTATTCTGAATATTATGTGTAAATAGAATCAAACATTATGTGGCCTTTTGTGTCAGGCTTCTTTAATTTAGCATAATATTGTCACTGTTCATCCATGCTGTAACATGCATCACTACCTCATTCCTTTTTATGGCTGCCAGTGTTCCGTTATATGGATATATCACATTTTGTTTCTTCATTGAGCAATTTATGCATATTTGGATTGTTTTCACTTTTTGACTGTTAGGAATAGTGCTGCTGTGAACAGATGTGTACATGTTTTTTTGCGTGGACATATGCTTTCACTTTTCTTAGGTTTACATGTAGAGTGGAATTTTTGGGTCACGTGGTAACTGTGTTTAACTTTTTTGAGAGGGTGCCTCACCGTTTGTTAAAGTGACTGTGTCTTGCCACCAGCAATGTCTAGAGTTCCAGTTTCTCCACATTCTTGCCAGCACTTGTTGTCTGTTTTTTTTTTTTCTTTTTTTTTTTGTTATTGTTGTAGCCGTTTTAGTGGGTGTGAAATGGTATCTCATTTTGGTTTTGATTTGCATTTTGTTAATGACATATAATGTCTTTTCATGTGTTCATTGGCCATTTGTATGTCTTCTTTAGAGGAATGCCTATTCAAATCCTTTTCCTATTTTCAATTGCTTTGTCTTTTTACTGTTGAGCTGTAGAAGTCTTTATATATTTTGGATACTTGACCTTTATCAGACATATGATTTACAAATACTTGTTCTGTTTTGTGGATTGTTTTATTACTTACTCTTTTTTTTTTTTTTTTTTTTTTTTTTGAGACAAGGTCTTGCATTGTTGCTCAGGCTGGAGGGCAGTGGTGCAATCATGGCACATTGTAGCCTTGGCCTTCTGGGCTCAAGCAGTTCTCCTGCCTCAGCCTTCCAAGTAGCTGGGACTACTGGCATGCACCACCACACCCAGCTAATATTTTATTTATTTCTCATGATGCTTCCCAGGTTGGTCTCAAACTCCTGGGCCCAAGCAATTCTCCTGCTTTGGCCTCTGAAAGTTTTGGAATTACAGGTGTGAGCCACCACACCTGGCCTTCTTTTTACTTTCTTGATAGTATGTTTTGATGCACAAAAATTTTAAATTTTGCTATGTTTTGCTTATGGTTTTTGGTGTCAAAAGGGCTGCCTAATCTCAGGGTCAAATATTTATGCCTCTGTTTTCTTCTAAGAGTTTTATAGTTACTCTTACATTTAGGCCTTTTATCTGTTTTGAGTTCATTTTTGTATAGGGTCTGAGATAGGGTATACTTTTATGTTTTTTGAGTCTGTAAAATTAACTGTCATAGAAATCCTGTTAAGATTTATGCCCATCAGAGCTCTCCCTATGCTACCCATATTGAATTTATATATGTATGTATTTATATTGATTTGTTTACTTTTATTTATTTTTTTACTGTAATTAAACATTTATGGGGTACAGTGTGATATTTTGATACATGTATATAATACATAATAACCAAATTGGTAATTTGCATAATAAATTGGTGATTTGCATACTTATCACCTCAAACATTTATCATTTCTTTGGGTTGGAAACATTTAAAATTCTCTCTTCTAACTGTTTGGAAATTTACAATCAATTATTGTTAACTATAGTCATCCTACAGTGCTATCTAGGACACTAGAACATATTCCTCCTATCTAGCTGTAATTTTGCATTCATTAATTATCCTTTCCCAGTTTCTCTCCCCTGACTTCTTCCCAGCTTCTAGTAATTACTATTCTATTCTCTACTTTTATGAGCACAACTTTGATGAAAGGATTTTCTTTTTTTACGGCTGAATAGTATTCCACTGTGTATATATACCACACTTCTTTTTTTGTGCGTGAGATAGACTCTTGCTCTGTTGCCCAGGCTGGAGTGCAGTGTCATGATCCTGGCTCACTGCAACCTTCGCCTCTTGCGTTCAAGCGATTATCCTGCCTTAGCTTCCCGAGTAGCTAGGATTACAGGAATGCACCAACACACTTGGCTGATGTTTTGTATTTTTAGTAGAGATGGGGTTTCACCATGTTGACCAGGCTGGTCTTGAAATCCTGACCTCAGGTGATCCGCTGCCTTGGCCTCCCAAGGTGTTGGAATTACAGGCGTGAGCCACCATACCCGGCCCCTTTTTTCTTTGTTGATGGACACTTAGATTGATCCCATATCTTAGCTATTATAACAGTGCTGTAATAATAAACATGAGGGTGCAGAGATCTCTTTATTGATTTCCTTTCCTTTGGATAAATACCTAGTTAGTGGCGTTGCTGGATCATATCGTAGTTACATTTTTTATTTGAGAACTTTTATACTCTTTTCCATAATGACTGTAATAATTTGTATTCCAAACAATGATGTGTAAGAATTCCCTTCTCTGCATCCTTGCCAGCATGTCATTTTTTTATCTTTTTGATAATAGCTATTCTAATTGAAGTGAGATGATATCTGACTATGGTTTGATTTACACTTTCTTGATGATTAGTGATGTTGAGCGTTTTTTTAATATACCTGTTGGCCATTTATATGACTTCTTGAGAGAGATCTTTTCAGCTCATTTGCCCATTTTAAATTGGATTTTTCCTTTTGTTATCATTGAGTTGTTTGGGTATCCCGTATTCCAGATATTAATCATTGTTTGGATGAATGGTTTGCAAATATTTTCTCCCATTCTTTAGGTTGTCTGTTCACTCTATTTAATTGTCCTTTGCTGTGCAGAAGCTTATGTGTTTGATGTTATCCAGTTTGTCTATTTTTGCTTTGTTCCCCGTGCTTTCGAGGTCTTTTCCACAGGATCTTTGCCTAGACCACTGTCCTAAAGCATTTCCCCTGTGTTTCCTTCTGGTAGTTTCATAGTTTGGGGCTTGATTTTTGTGTATGGTGAGAGATAGGGGCCTAGTTCCTCTTTTCTGCATATAAATATCCCGTTTTATTGGCTTCATTTATTGAAGAAGCTGTCCCTTCCCCAATTTATGGTACAGGTGCCTTTGTTTTATATTTGTACATTTTCAGAATTTCCTCTTATTATTGATTTTTTGTTTTATGCCATTGTAGTCAGAAAAGATACTTGATATAATTTCACTTCTTTTAAATTTGTTGAGACTTCTTTGTGGCCTAATATGTGGCCTGTCCTGGAGAATGTTACATATGCTAATGAAACAAATGTGTATTCTGTAGCTGTTGGATGAAATCTGTAAATATCTGGTAAGCCCATTTGATCTAAAATGCAGTTTAAATTCAGTATTTCTTTGTTGATTTTCTATCTAGAAGATCTGTCCAATTCTGAGAGAGTGATAATCGAATCTTCAACCAGTCTAATAGTATTTGCTTTATTTATCTAGGTGCTCTGGTGTTGAATACATATATATTTATAGTTGTTTTATCTTCTTGCTGAGTTGATCCCTTTATCATTATATGATGACTTTGTCTCTTTTCATAGTTTTTAACTTAAAGTCTGTTTTGTCTATTATGAATAGAGCTACTCCTGCTCAGTTTTGGTTTCTGGTGTATGGACTATCTTTTTCCATCCCTTGGCTTTCAGTCTATATGTGTCTTAAATTAATAAAAACAGATGGAGTCTCACCATGTTGTTCATGCTGGCCTTCAATTCTGTGCTCAGGAGATCCTCCTGCCTCAGCCTTCTTAGTAGCAGGGACTACAGTGGCATGCTGTTCCCTACACCGCCCCCCACATAAAAATATGTGTCTTTACAGGTGAAGTTAGTTTCTTGTAGGCAGTGTATTATTAGGTCATGATTTTAAAAATTGATTCAGCCCAGCTATATTTTTTAAGTGGGAGATTTAATTCATTTAAATTCAAGATGATTATTGATAGGCAAAGAATTGGTTCTGTTATTTTGTTAATTGCTTTCCAGTTGTTTTGTGTGTGCTTTGTTCTTTTTTTCTCTCTTATCATTGCAGTTTGGTGGTTTTCTATAGTAAGTAGGTTTTGATTCTTTTCTCTTTCTCCTTTGCACATCTGTTCTACCAGTGAGTTTTTATATT